CCCCAAAACCCCAAAACCCCAAAACCCCAAAACCCCTGGAAAGAAGATTTTCATTGAAAAATGTTATATTCTGAGTTACATCGTGCGTTCGAGAAACTATAATAGAGAATTCTCAGAAAGCTCGACTTCGAGGTCAACCTTCAAATTGTCTTCTTCTGGGCTATCTTTGTTGATATTCCCAACGATTGTGAGTCCAAGACCGAGAGTTACGAAGGTAGCTCCGATATATGTGAAAGCTGTAGGCCAGCCATCCTGGCCTAGAATGCATCCGATGAGCTGTCCTGTGAATGGTTCCATTAAAAACATTCCATTCACAATATGAGGAGGGAAGAAATCCAATAAAAATACATAGCAGCCTAGCCCGATTACTCCTCAAACTGGGCCAACCAAGAGAGTTGAGAGCAGGAATCATTGGGGATCGCTCCATCCAAGTAATCCATTAACGGGGTCTGTTGATAGCAATACTCCCATGCTAATATTGCTAAATATTAGCACATAGAGCAAAAACAGTATTAATTGGACCACACTAAAGCAGTGGAATACCACAAGTGATGGCAACTTTTGAATAGCTCTTGCATTAAAGAAGTATGCCATTGTGTAGCAAGGCATTGATAGCAATGCCAAGGTATCTCCAAGGAGGATATTTGTCCCACCTTCAGCCTTGGTAGATTGAGAGTCATTTATGAGGGAAATAATACCTCCAACAACCACAATAGTTCCCATTATTTCAAATCTATTGACTGGGAGAAGCCTGAAAATGCTTATTATGATCAAGAAGACTCCCCCTGAATTCGCTAGGACCATAGTGTGAGAGTACAAAGTGTATCGAGAACTCATTAAGAACAACGCAGAGGCAGTGCAGAACAAGGTTGCAGCAGCTACAATCTCTGCCACTGTCGCCCAAGTGAATACTCTTTTATCAATTTTTGGTAATCTTTTTATCAGATACCAAGTAATTGGGATACAGTATATGCACGAGAGCTGATTTCTCCAGACTCCTATCATAGAGACAGACACTCCCTTGTACATATTCACTCAAGGTAGCATCGATGATGATCATATGATCGATACAACTGCAAGTATTATACCTATAAGCAAGTGATAAGAATAAATCCTAAAACGCCAAATCCAAAGCTCGAATTCTTGCAAACGTCATTTTTTGAAAATTTAAAACTTCCCAAATTTTACCAAATCAGAAAAATGTATAATCTCAAAAAATTCTCGTGCTTATGCTTCACAGTCATATTACAGAGCATCAATTCCACTTAAAATCCCTCTCACAATCCCTAACTCCAGGATCCACAATTCGCTTATTTCCTTCAAAAATATGACATTCTAACTACTCCAAAAAACGTCTTGCCAACGATAAGAGGCAACAAATCCACTCTCAGAATCCAAAATCCCCAAGCCACAAATCCAGCCTAAACTTACCCTTGATTGGTGATTTCTTTTCTGCAGAAGTACTAAAGCTATGCTTCTGGTGGCTCCTCTCCATCGAGAAAGACAGATGCTGTGAATGAATAAAGCTCATGCTTTGTCTGATTTATTAAGTCTAAATTATTAAATATAATCGGATATTTACAATTTATAATTCACCAAAAGGGGTTTTGGGGTTTTGGGGTTTTGGGGTTTTGGGGTTTTGGGG